TTCGCTAAATGGCAGCTTGATTTCTTTTCGTCCAAAGACTCCGCTTTAGTGCGTTTAAATGAATTAAGGAAATGTGATAGAAAAATCAATACAAGGAGAAGATAGACTTCGCTGAAATGAGATGAAATTAAACACCTTCATAGAAGTATATATTTTTGTTTGCTTTTGTTTAATTGAATGCGTTTCTTCCCTAAATGATGATATACGACTTCGTTAACAGTGGATTTTTCAACATTTTTTGTCTAATTTTGTTTTTGTTTTTGTTTTTTGTTGTCGTAGTAATGATAATAGCCTAATAGTCCACTCCAAACGTTATTAAACCGAAACGGAAATTCTTTTTGCCCAATTGATCGTGAGCCCGGCAGCCACTGAGCAGCGCCAGATCGACGTTGTCGTTCTATCCTTTATTGTTGAACGCCAAACATGGTAGCAACAACTCCCATCTTTTAACGTCTTTTGGTATGACGCAGCCGGGGTTCGAACCCACGACCTTCCGGTTGTGAGGCGGACGCTCTACTGACTGAGCCAACATTCCGGTACGGAGTAGACGCAATAAGCAGCTGATAAGGAGATGACTGTTTCAAACGGCGTATTTTCTCTCTTCCTCCATCGGTCATTCAACCAATTCAACCTCTTGTTTGAATATTCTCAATTTCGTGGGAGCAGGTATTGAACAGTAATTATTCATCGATTTAAAACGGGTCCCTTGGTTAAAACCCTCATTCTCACCTAAAAAATGTACTACAGATGTTTTGGCGAATTTTTAACGAGTTTTTTTTATTTTTTATCTCAGACCAAAATACAGAAATGAAAGAAGTAAAAGCATAAAACGAAAGGATTTCTATCTTGCATTAAGTTTGAGGTGAAAAAAAAGACTATATTGAATTCCATCGATGAAGAATTCGTTTGAAAACACGAAACATCCTTGTTACCAAATTCAGAGAAGCATTTAAACTTTTTTCTCTCTGAATCTCTCTCTCTCTCTCTCTCTCTTCCTCTCTCACTTACTCAATCTTTCTCTCTCTCTTTATCTCTCTTTCTCTCTAAGTTGGAAATATCGATTTACAATGAAACTTAGTCCTATTATTCGACTATATATCAGTTTGAGATGATAAACTCACTCTTTATTAAATCCAGGTGCTTTAACTTGTTCAGACTAAGTATTAATAATTACTTCAACGAAATATTTCGATATAGCATCCGTTGAAAATGGAATGTTAGTAAAAAAAAAAATGTTTTCTTTTATTCTTGATTTTCACTATGGATACCAGGTTTACCTTTCATTGCTTCACAATATTTGCACGCATCTCTGAATATTGAAACACCCAAATTATCTCAATGATTATAAGGTTTATATAAGACTACATGCCCTAACCCGTTCTTCGTACCTGCTTCTTTCTTCATCCCATCACCGTCCCATCCAATTTCAGCTTCCAAATGCGAACCGAAGTACTTTCATGTCCAATTTGTCGCGCGAACTTAATTTCCCAGATTTCCCGCTATTTTATCGCGTTACCACGTTTCCCCTCCTCACGAACTACCCTATTTTATTAAGAAGTGTGACATGCGCAGCTCATAAGGATAAGCAAGTTGGATACCTTGGTTATCCGTGTCCAAAACAATCGCCATCCATCATTTAACCGTCAAAACAGATTCATTTGCAAGAAGTTTCCATCGAAGGGGTTGTTACTTTTATTCATTTAATCTCATATAAATCCGCAATTTGAAGTAAAATTATTTTCTTTCCATATTTTGTCCAGTTTGTATAAATATAAGTCCCTTTCTGTTTCGGTTAATTTTGTCAAATTTAGCAATCAGCAATCCCCCAGCCCTCTCTCTCGCTCGCCCTCTCGCCCTCTCGCCCTCTCTCTCTCTCTCTCTCTCTTCCCCTCTCCCTCTCTCCCTCAATCTCGAGATAGTGAAGGCACGCCTAATCTCTCACTCACTCACTCATTCCTCATCGTGTCTCGCATTTTCTTTATTTTAATCCTACTTTTTAGAACAAAGGAAAAGAAGATTTTTGTGCCTTTCAAATTATTAATCTGTTACTATTCAAAATTCGAAATAATCAGACAATAAGAAAATACTCCGTTTCCTTATTAACTTTCCCTCCTTCGCCAGGTGTGATACGGTGTATCTTCCCCAAAGTTATCACTTGTCCTCAAAAACAGAAACAAGAAAGACAGACACATAGAAAGAAAGAAAGAGAGACGCAATTAACTTCTGTGAGGTTTGACATATTCATAGAAAAGAAGAGAAAATAAAGAAAGACAGACACATAAAAAGAAAAGAGAAAGAAGAAATAGAGAAAGATGCAATGAATCTGTCTATATAAAGGCAAAGCATCAATACATAAACTTGTCAAGTTTGATATACTAGTAGTAAGAGAAGAGAAGAGAAATATAAAAGAAAGACGGACACATAGAAAGAAGGAAAGGTGCAACAAATCAAGACAAGGGCCCTTTCAGTCATACACCAATGGAGTAGATCAAAAAGTCTTTCAAACAGAACTAGGTAATGGTTTTAATGGGAAAGCGTTATTAATTAGGGCCCTAATATCTTGCGATTGATCATCGTTATAGGCTTAGACTGATACCTAAGGTGATCATTCGTGATCATTCACAAAAACGTCCCTCGTCCCTTGTCCCATAAGTCATTAATACTGGTTTAATATTATGAATGGGTAGTGGCCAATGTGTTTCTTATAACTTTGGCGTAGCTACGGGTGGCACAAGAGGCGCAGGCACAAAGGAGATTCTAGTAGTGGCAACTATCGACCGATTAGCTATTCCCGTTTGGAAATTATATATCACATCTACATATTCTGAGATTTTCATGGTCGCAGCTACATTGTACTATTGTACGGCCGTAGGTGCTATTTGAAAATTCTCAAAATTTGCCGGGAGCACCGGTATATTTATATATTCAATTTTTCTCGAAAGCGGAAGTGTTTTAGGGGCTAAATTTTCAAGTGCTTGTAATACATCCACAGGGACATCCAAGTATAATATAAAAATTGTAAAGTATCACTATCTACCCAATTTTCATTTTTTTTCCAAATACCGGTACACAATGAACACCTGGATGGAGAGTTGCAAATGTAGATTTATGTTCTGCTATTTAATAAAGACAGTGCCGTGGCGATACTCGAACCGCAAACCCTGCGATTCACAGTTCGAATACATATCTACTAGACCACGACCCCTCTATACCTAAACTTTGAAATGCATGACCCGATGAATCATAGAACATTCCTTTATCACTGATGGGATGTTCCTGGATAAGACTGGACTTATTTTTCAACTATTTTAAGTTCACCCGGCCTTTGACTTTTTGGTTCTTCCATACTTTGAACGTACGTAGGATCTACAACCGGGTGTAATAAGCGAGAGAACATCGCACGAAGGTGTTTTATCACTTAACACGTGTAATACCGTTTGAGTCCAATTAGTCTGTACTTCAGACACGGTTTACCATGCCGCGATTTCGGATTTTATTATTGCCCTTTCTAAAATGATTTCGTCTACTAAATAAAATCGCTCTAAAGAAAATAAATCTACCTGGAAAATTTGGATTTGTTTTCTTGAAATCCGATCACTAGCAAGAAAAAGTAGTCATAACAATTAAAGGACTCAACTGAGCACAGTCTAATACGAGGGGGAAAGAAGTTTTTACTGCCAAACAAATTATAAATGAATCAAATAAATAATGATAGCTGTATATTTCCTAATTTCCTATAAGCTTTCAAACTTAGTTGGACGCCGGTTCATCGTTGGCTTAGGCTTTATGCGCCAATGAATGAAGTGCAATCTAACCAGCAAAGTAAAGTATGGAATTCCATCGTAGCAAGGACGTTTTAACTACAGAATGCCCACAAAACCATAGTGTCTCTTTTATTTGTTCGCTCGTATAAGAAACTGTAGGTTCGCCTTTAACAAACTTGAAGCTTTTTCCTATATATATATATATATATATATATATATATATATATATATTTCTGTCTGCCCCCTCTCTCCCTTTTCTTTTTTTCTATCTCTTTTTGCATTTCATTAACCATGTTCAGTGCCCCACCCTCATGGCGCCAGTTCACCCCCTCCCCCCCCCCCCCCTCCACCCGCGATTGCTGATCGCACTCTTCAACACCGGGGGAAGGGTTCGCTCCCCGCATTTAAAAGACTTTCCATCACCTTTCATCTATCATCTTCCTTCATATCCTCCTCGAAGGTAGTGCTCTGCCTGGTGTCTGCATTAAACCCAAGCACCCTGCCCACACCACGACCATAATTGGGAGTTTATTAATAAACGCTCCAATCTGCGGCCTCGCTGGGTGATGTCCGCGTAAGAGGTCACGAAACTTTCCCGTCGTTATCGTGTCCCAAGACAAAATGAAGGAGCCAGCCCAAAAGCCATTTTAGAATTCAGTTTTTGGCGGGATTTGACAGTACCCAGGACGAGTTATCGATTGCTCAGTACTTCATGAATATTGATGGGGGTGGTCAAGAACAAAAATAACGAAGACAGCAGCATCAGCAACAGCATCAGCAACAACAGCAGCAACAACAGCAGCAACCACGACAGAACATCAACAAAAACGGAAACAAACAAAGAGATAATGAATGTTGTTTCATACTCGGTTGTACCCATAATATACGATAAATAAATAAATGAGCTAACAACGAAACGCATCTAGCCACCAATGAGACAACACGTTCCTTATTATCCCTTTAAAACCCCACTGTCCTACTTGTAGCTAATTGCTCCCTCTATATAGAAAACTTTCCCAATCGGTGCCTGTTGGTCTCCCATGATCCTCTTTTTCTTATGTTAGTTGAGAGCTGAGTTAATGAGATAGCCACCTTTCAGTGATCTCGCTGTGTGGTCTAATCCCTTCTGGCCCAGTAGTGTTGACGGTCTTTAACTAACGTACTGAACCTTCATATTATACTTATGAAGAAATGTATTATAACTCCCTTTTCGTTCTTGTTCCTTTACACAGGTGTGAAGACAAACTACGAGGAAACTGTTAAACACTATGGAAACGTTAAGATATTGGAAAGCTCATCTCGAACTACACTTACTCCCTCGGGTGATATAGGCTATATTCATCAACTCAGAGACATCCAGAACAACTGAGAAATCTAGAACCATTCGTACGCATAGCCCGCCCTCCGCGGTCACCCAATAAATGTATATCATGGAGCTTCAACCGCTAACTGATAACCTGACAGATATTGGCGATGAGATCTACGCATCAGCAGCCAACTTATCAACCAATTCCTCGAGTTCTTTATATTACGGAGAATCCAGTGACTACTTCTATGACTTGGTGTGGGAGATGGTTTACCCGCAAACCTACGAATGGGTCATCTTGGGGTTCTTCATGCTCCTCCTGCTCTTGGCCCTTGGCGGAAACTCGTTAGTGGTCTATGCCGTCATGCGGAACGAGCACATGCGCTCGGTCACCAACTATTACATCGTGAACCTGAGCGCTGCGGATATCTTGGTGTCCTTGATCTGCTTCGGACCGACTGCAGTTGGTGATGTCACGGAAACCTGGTGGCTGGGTGATACAGCGTGCAAGCTCATTCCCTACTTTCAGGTAACACCCACTAAAAGATCCCTATAGTCAAAGTTAAGAAAGAGAGGCTGAAATATTTATTTTAAAAAAAAATTCATCACAGTCAGTACTGACAGCGTGTCTGCACGCTTCGAAATACCATAATAGCCGAGTGGAAAACTTTACGAACAGATAAATACAAATAGCGTGTAGGACATCGAAATTTGAAAGAAAAACATTCAAGTCCTACAACATTTTTAAAAGGACGCGCAATGTATTCATGTTTATAACTTGACATTTGAAGTAACGTCATTAAATGGATTAATTTATATAATGAAAGAACATCCCGGGATGTAGGAGGAATAAGATAGTTAAGTATATTTAGTACAAATGTGAGGTAAAAGACCCCCATGTACGTTTCTATTAAAGTATCCCAAAGCTTATTAAAAAAACACCTCTGATACGTGATCACACACGAGGAAGGATCACAGACTTACACGTAAGTACTTTGAGTTATGTAAATTGTATACATTTCAAAGAGGTTGTCACTAACACTCGTATCGTAGTATGGGACTGATGAATTGATGTGTGTTCTGTTGATGCTGATCGAGGTTTGAAGTATGCTAAATTACGGCGTGAAATAACGATGCTCAGCTGGAACAGTCGTGCCATTCATCTTCTCATTGACGTTTCCCTCCATTCAGGGCATTCCACCAGCCCCCTATTAGAGTCACTGGAGGCACAAATCTTTCCCCATACCACGATCCTCAAGACCCTTAAAGGGGTAGTCCACCCTGATATTAAGTCCGTATTAAAGCAGCAGAACAAATATGCGAATTAGGTTGGTGAAAGTTTGAGCAAAAACGGAATAATAAAAAAAAAAGTTATGTATTTTTGAAGGTGTGATCAATCAAAAACTAATTGGCAACTCTGTGAAGGTCCCCTTCTGTTTGCCATATGTACTAAAACACGTTTAAAAAAAATGTCCTTTAAGAAAAATGTTTAATCAAACATTCACCCTAAATATATTTATTCCAAAATGTTTGTATACAACCACTGTATAAAACAAATCTATTCCGTCACCAATAACTGAGAATGAAAGTTTATGACATTTTCTCATAAGATACGTAACAGTCTTGCCTATTGTAATTTAATAACTACATCTTGAAAAAGTCATATATTTTCTATATTTATTCGGATATTGCTCAAACTTTCAGTACCCCCTGTTTTTCGCTTTAATTAAAACCAACTTCATAGTACATGTAGACTTTTCCTTTAAAGAAAAATAAATCGACTTTGTCAAATCCAAGCGTTACGGATTAATCAAATTTATGAAATATTAATATAGGTGTGAATTCGGAATGACATGCAAGGCCTTTTGGTCATCCCGTAGCAAACCTATTTAAAATTAAATATTTTCTAAATTTGATGAATGGTTGATACTTTAACTATTCTAAAAACACCTCATATTTGTTTACGTTTGGAATGAAAGTCAAGTTAATGAACCATTATGCCACGAAACCTCTTTTCAGATTCAAACTCTAATCAATAGTTACATTTATTTATCTTCAATTTCTTTCTCTTCTTTTCAATATAAAAAAAATATTCAAGTAAAAAATAAAAATAATGGCATAACAAATTTTTCAGAGCATTCTAACAGCTTTAACTGAAGGAAGAAGTCGTAAATCAAAAAGTGCACAGGCTTGTGTGTCGAGTACGCCTTAGGCAACGGATATAATTGTTTAATCCGTTCATGTCATTTTGCAACGATAACATAGCAGAAATGTCCCCTGTGAAAAATTGGTGTTCAAATGCCTTCATATTCGAAATATGCTGAGAAACAGCTGAAAGGGTTCCATTAAGCGTTCATACCACATAGCTGTGTAGTCCGATAAACCCATTTCAGGGTGCATGTATTGTTTTCAGCAAGATTTGTTATTGCTGCTGCTGCTGTTGTCGTTGTTGTATTATTTGTTTTCATAACTTGAAAATCATACCTTGGAAGTGCATGGGCCTATAATTATGCAATCCTAATCTGGCCCTCTGTAACTATGAATATAAACTATGTTCCATATGAAAGACTCTGTGTAGCTGTTGAGGAACAGAACATTTGACTTTTCAGTTGAACTAGGGGTCGAATCCATCTCGCTTCGATGCCCTATTTTCTTCTTTTTCCATTGCTTTGATTTCGTATTTCCCCCTTTTTTTCTTCACAATCATGATCATTATTCTTTACCAAAAGACCGGTTCATTTACATATTCAAATGTATAGGTGTTTCCTTCCAGGGGACCTAGAGACGAGTTACTCCATTAACCTGATTTTAGTGAATGACTACTATACAATACTTGGATTCCGGTCTGCGTACATTACCTGTCGCTATGTTAGGCAAGCCTCGTACAAGCTTTCGGGTTTCCAAAAACAACTTTGTTTATTAAGTTATGCATACATTTTGAATGCGTCAGTAAACCGGTAAATTGCTTCCAGACAGCTTCTACCACAATGTGCTCCCGTGACAAGTACTCAACTTTATCTTTAAGTACAACGGCTTCTGAAACCTACCCGATAAATCACTTTTACCTCTCTTATCTTGTTAAAAAATGGCTCCTATGAATATAAATTTCACGATCAGGACATATTTCTCATAAATCACATTTGGCGGACATACATCTCACTATAATTCAATGGCCTAGTATTTCGTCCTCCTATTGGTAAAGTATCATGCAGGGAAGCGATAAATTTGAGATCTGGCTGGAGAAAGTTGACTCGGTCACAAACGCAATCTATGTCTAGTGATGCTCAACGTCATTTAAAGATAAAGTTGGGTTCATGGCCCCATTTCACAAAACATTTCATAAGTGACAAATGACAGTTTTTGTTATAAGCTACTGAAATCCTTGCTTCTGATTGGTTATCAGCAGATTTGTCACTGATTTTTGTCATTTGTCATTGACAAATGGCTTTGTCCCTGGTCATGCGATTGCATTGTGACAGGAACTGTCTGGAAGGAAATGAAAAAAAGAGTAATTGATGTAGCACATTTTAATTGGTGAACTGTGAGGTTTTTTTCCTCGAATCTTCAAAATGATAACAACTTGAGTCACGTACCCTCTACACAGAGTGGAGGTTCTTGCATTACTTTTTGTTGAATGTGCCTCACTTATATTCATTTATGATAAAGAATTGGGAGGAGGGCATAAACAAATCTGGGGCTTGAGCCCCTCAAGCCCCTTTTATAACGCTATGGGGGGGGGGGGGGAACTAGAGCTTGTTAAGGAGATGAACATAACTTGATGACGGGTTTATACTAGATAGGAAAGGAAGGTATCTGACTCGCATTTAATTGTTTCTGGAACATTCGCCCATTACCAAGCGAAGGTGGCTCATTATTTCCCACCTGGCCCGGTTTTCATTATCTCGCACGAGAGAGCACTAAGGAGCCCGCATCCGCATCACAACACGGGCAGTTACGCCGCGGCTATGCGGTATAAGATAGCCTTCCCAAGTGCGTATAGAGGAGAACTCCACGTCGCATGAAGATAGTAGCCGACAACATGTGCGGAAAAAGTTGTGCACGAGGGAGCGGGTTAAATGTGCGTATTCATTTTTAATCCACACAATCGCTCTACCATTAAACTCACCTTTTTTTTTAGTTGTCATCGCATTTTGTATTTTGCACAAACTATATCAATTAACGCGTTAACATATGAACGACTGATTGTATGATGAAATGGATAAATACTCATATGAATAAATATATAAATGATAAATTAAGTCAAAAAAATTTATGAATAAATCAATACACATAAAGCAAATATACTGAGTCTGATTCAGCTATTTTGTAACCTGTAAACTGTGTGAATCACAATCTTAAAAGCAATTCAATTGACGTAGCTTGTTTACAAATGAAGATTACAATACTGAATGGTAAAAAAAGATCATTCAAGCTTCGAAATATGTCTGTTTATCTGAAAAAATGTATCGAATTAAACATTCTGGATTCGAAAATAAACAAACGAACGAAACAAGAAAGTGCACCGAAATATTTCTTTGTACAGTAAATGCTGTATTTTACTTTGCAAAATTACGATTCTGCTGAGCTCCGAATGAATTGCACCAGCTCAGGCGATGATAGTATTACTTTCATGGCAACCATTCACAGAAACATTTGGGCGACATTAACACGAAATTGTATTTAAACACCGTCCCCTTCACGCCAGACTGCTTGTACTTTTGGAACAGTCCTCCTTGCCAGGAATGCTGGATGAAGGCCAATGTGACCCTGTACTTGGGGCGAGGCCGCAGGGCTAGGTTTTGTCCTTGGGTTTATTTAAGTGAATTAAAAGACGGAACATACACGCAGGGACACGTGTGGTGACATGATGTTCCTGCGCATGAAGGCGCCAGTTTTTGTTGTACATGTGCTTCCAAACTGTTTTCGATATCATATCTCTGCCACAACTATCCACGTACGATGTGTACGCTCTTTCTATTAATTTTTATTTCTTCAGCATTATTGAAATAGGTCGCCTCTTCATCAAAAAAAGAAACTACATTCTTACGGCCGTGAATAAGATCGATACAAAATTATATATACGAAAGTATTTTGCAAATAAACATTCGAGTAATTCATAATTTACAGCAGAAAGAAATTATTAAAAACAATTAAAAACACACATATGGATCAGTATGGACAAAGCTACATTCAAAGACTTATCGGTTGGATACAAATTTACCCATCACTGGCTAAAAAACAACAAAATGCATCTCTGTGGGATAACAGTGTACACAATATTGGGTAAAATGTAACTGAAGTTGGTTAAACTGACTCTACCTCTACCCCATATCGCAGAAACAAAAACACATTTTCACTTTTATCCAAAGTTATTTAGGAAATTGTACTTAACTCCCCACTGTTTTAGAGAGAGATTGTTATGTTGTAAGCCTTTGAAACTATTACCGAATGATAGTTTAAGAGAACCTACACAAGAAGAAATGAAGAAAGAAAAAAAAACGTTGCCGGTGTTTGCAAACATTGCCAATT